CGGAAGTGGTTAGCGTGTCGCGCCGAAGCGCGGTGGGTCAGCACCTGCAAAACGACACACTAAGCCAACATTCCTGACCGCATATGCCGCACATCTGCTTCGGAGAGGTGCCGAGGGCGAGTCACGATAACGGCTACACCGATACCGATAAAGTGGTGCATATGAATATGTTACAAACCCTCTACTTACTTTGCTCTGGTGAAGAATGCTGGGGCGACCGCAATTCAGTTGAACAACGCTTGGCTGGGAACAGAGACAACGTAAGCACGTGCAGGAACTACACACCTGGACTGAGGCGGCGTGTTTCAAACAATTGCAAGCACGAAGGCCATTCTGCGCACGGCCCACGCCAGAACGCAATTCGGCGGCCTGGGCGCTGTGCCAGCTCGTGGTATATGGCACATGATGGCATGTGGTCATGGGACGCGTGCTATACGTATGGCGCATGGCATGTGCCGATACGCCCCGTGTCAGCTAGTGACGTATGGCGTGTGCCGATGATTCGTTCTTGCGTTCGGTGTACGGTGTCTGCCGACGCGGCGCCCAAATGGGCTCACGCGCAAGCGAGCTCGCGACGGCGAGAGGGAAGCTCGGAGTCGAGAGGGAAGGACGAGCGAGCGGCCGTGCGTGCACGCAGGCCCGCGCGTTCAGACGCAGGCCCGCCGGGGCGGACCTCGTGCGTGCACATCGGTTGTTGGCATCCGAGAGGGGGCTGAGGAGGGGACGGGACGAGGAGGCGGCAGGAAGTGCAGATCCTCCTCCTCCTCCTCCTCCTCCTCCTCCTCCTCCGTGGGAGGGGTCGGCTTCACGCAAGAAATGGCCTGGGGCGCTCGGATCCGTGAAAAACCCTGGGCCGACCTCTCTTGCAAGGCTGAACTTTACCTCCGCCGGCTTCCGCCGGAGACGACCCAGACCCCCGACGTAATGATTTGTTCATTACGTCGACCCCCAGAAGTCTGGACCCTTTCCCCATGACCGGCTTTGCATCCCGAGTCGTTTTTTGACGCTCCCGAGGCCCGGTGAGGGCCCCTGGAGGCCGAAAATGAGGAAAAACCTCCCGTCATGATTTTTTCATTACTCGAGGGGGTCTGGGGAGATGGCAGCTTCTCGATCCCTCCAAGACGAGGCCCTTCCTGGAAGGCGCCGCGGCGCCACGCGAAGCCCCCGGCATCCGCCGACGAGATTTGCTCGATGCGCGGCCCCAGAGACATCCCACCCCCTTCCCAGGGGCCTCCTCCTCCTCCTCCTCCTCCCCCCTCCTCCTCCCTCCTCCTCCTCCTCCTCCTCCTCTCCTCATCCTCCTCCTCCTCCTCCTCCTCCTCCTCCTCCTCCTCCTCCCCCTCCTCCTCCTCCTCCTCCTTCCCAGGCTTGGCGCCCCGGATCCGCTCTCGCGCCCGGCGCGAGCCCCTGGAGGCCGAACGCGGACAAGGGCAAGAGTCCGCCGTCGGGGCTTCTGTTCGCACCGAGAGGTCCGGGGGAGGGGGCGATGAGGTGAGGGCTCAGCGTGGCCGTCGCCGTGGCCGTCGGCGCTTTGCCCAAGCTCGCCGCGCGCGCCGCCGCCGCACCGACGCGCCGACGCGCCGGGCGCCGACGCGCTGGGCGCCGCCGAGGGGCCCCAGACCCCCGACGTCGTGCTTTTCTCACGACGTCGACCCCCCGAAGGCTGGACCCCTTCCCCGGGACCAGCTTTGCAGCCCGGGTCGCTCTTTGACGGCCCCGAGGCCCCTGCAGCACAGGGCCCCCGGAGGCCGAAAGCAGCGAAAAAAGTTTCCCGCCGCGGTGCTTCCACAGCCCGACGGGGTCTGGGGCCGCCGAGGGGTCGCCGAGCGGACGCCGAGGCGTCGCCGAGCGAAGGACCTCCGCCGAAGGGCCTCCGGGGAGCCGCCCGAGGCCGTCGCGCGGGAGCGCGCCGCCGCCGAGGCGGCGCCCCAGCGGCGGCGGGCGCGGGCGTCGGCCTGGGCCTGGCGCGCGTGGCGGGGGGGGGGCGAGGCCGACGAGGAGGAGGACGAGGAGGACGAGGAGGACGAGGACGCCGACGACGAGGGCGACGAGGAGGAGGCGGAGAAGGAGGACGCCGACGAGGACGACGTCGACGACGAGGACGCCGACGACGACGAGGAGGACGACGCCGACGAGGACGACGCCGCCGACGACGACGACGACGCCGACGGGGACGACGTCGACGAGGACGACGACGCCGACGAGGACGACGGCGATGGCGACGGCGACGGCGATGGCGACGGCGGCCGACGAGGACGAGGACGAGGGCGAGGGCGACGACGACGACGACGACGACGACGAGGGCGCCGACGACGACGAGGGCAGCGACGACGACGAGGAGGACGACGGTGACGACGAGGGCGACGACGACGACGAGGAGGACGACGCCGAGGAGGACGACGACGATTAATTACGACGAGAGCGACGATTACTACGAGGAACGGGAAGGTCCAGGGGGGGGGGAGATACCGCCGTGCCGCTGGTCCAGGGAGAAAGAAGG